TGCATGGGAGTTTGAATATAAATTTTTATAACTCACAGCCAGCGATCACATCCATTGCATTCCATGATAATTCGCACTCAGTCATTGGTATACCCACAAAAATCTCTCCCCTAAATCCTAGTACATCTATCAATGATATCTGGTGTATCTATGGAATAACATTGAAGCAGAAATTATTGGATGACTTGTCAAATTATTTGATGACCTTATTTTATATTGAAGTGGGGTTTGTCTCTACTCTATCACTAAAAAAATTTTGTATCATCAATGACAAAAGTTTAGTGAGGATGTTATACTTTTTATTTTAGCATTTCAATTGTACCGTCATACTGTCATACGGGGTAATATGGGATGGTTTTGAGCATTTTTTGTAATAAATTTTTATCATGAAACATTTCATAAACAAGTTTGGGCTCATTTTAAAGCTCTTTTCGAGGGCTATTGGCATCTTTGAAAAAATTCCATATGCTATTCGTAAGGTGCCAGACAAAAAATAGAAGCGTCCAAAATTACCCCTGGAAAGGAGGTAATATGGGACACTTGACATAAAACCTAATTTTTAAACGTTTAAGGCATGCAAAGTGTACTCATCTATTGCTAACAGTACTCTTAAGTCCTCCTCTTCCTTTATAGATGATGTACATGTAGAATAAATGAGATTTTCTGTGATTTTTACTTTATTGATATGAAATTACCATATCCATACATTACTGTATTAGGTATTGATGTGATATTACTGTATCAATGATCATGCCATTGAGCATTTACAACAACCTTGTCCACTGCAAGCTAAATTGAAATTAAGGCATGCCTAAATGAAGATGCGCCCCACGTCTTTTGTTTTAGATGTTGTAAAATATTTTAACTGAAATACAAAAGACCAAGAGAATGAAAGCAAACAGAGATCAGTAGCTGCCGTAAAATTATTTTCTACTTTTGAGTCCACATGTAAAACGTGGTCTTTAAAAATTTTTTTATACATTTTATTAAAGCTCGTTTCGAGGGCTATTGGCATCTTTGAAAAAATTCCATATGCTATTCGTAAGGTGCCAGACGTAAAATAAAAGCGTCCCAAATTACCCCTGGGAATAAGGTAATATGGGACACTTGAAATAAAACCTAATTTTTAAATGTTTAAGGCATGCAAAGTGTACTCATCTATTGCTAACAGTACTCTTAAGTCCTCCTCTTCCTTTATAGATGATGTACATGTAGAATAAATGATATTTTCTGTGATTTTTACTTTATTGATATGAAATTACCATATCCATACATTACCGTATTAGGTATTGATGCGATATTACTGTATCAATGAACATGCCATTGAGCATTTACAACGACCTTGTCCACTGCAAGCTACATATCAGCAGCCATATAGCATATCTTCTGTATCTGTAAGCTCACAGGATGACTTGTAATTTCACACCATTTTAATTGGGTCAAGTGAATTCCCTATAACAAAAAAAGATCATAACAAACACCTGAAACAGAAAGGACAATTTTAGTGACAATTATCAAAGTTTTTAGAGAAATAAATCATAGTTAAGGTTAATTACTTTCCATTCTATGTTGCTCGGTGCACAATTCTATTCTTGGCATTCTATGCACTATTGTGTGACGGCTGATGATGCATTAATTTTTCAATAAGGGAATTTTTTCGCCAAGTGAGGTAACTGAACTTAGAATTTTTAGTTATTTGATTTTTCTGTTAACTGGAGCCTTTGCTAATCAAGGTTCTATGGTAAATGCGATTTTAGGGGCCCGTCATGCGGAAATGGCTGTTATTTTTTTATGAGATAGGCAAATTCTGTCAATTACGTTTTCAAGCCAACACCTGTGTGCAACTTTAATGTACCTAGGTGAAATTATTGGGGAAATTATTAGGGGAATATTTATTTTGCTGCAGACCTTAGTAGTGGTACTCTTCCAAAATCTTACTTTTCACACTTTTTTCAGGGATTTTCTAGATGTAGTAAATATATGATTTCTTAACTTGTTTTATGCTACATAGACAGAAAAATGTTTAACTTTAAGCCACTATTTTACGTTTTACAATACTATGATTAGTTTAGCTGCAACATTTTTACAAAATGTGGGACGACTGTCCTGATTTACCACAGCCGTCCCTTATTACCCCCAGGTTGCATACTGCTCAAGGAAAGCCTGGAAAGTCATGGAATTTGATTTTTCATTTTCGAGGCCTGGAAAGTCATTGGATTTCATTTCATGTCATGAAAAGCCATGGAATAAAAGGCGTTTTGACTTCCCTCAATAATGTTGATGTTAGTTACACTTACATGGAGGAGTGCAGCCAAGCACCACCAATTTTGTGCACCAATAAGCCCTGATCGAACACATTGGATCTCTCTGGACATCCACCAATCAGCCGTGAATGAAACCTGCTATCCAGAGCTGACCCTTAACATCATTCTGTTTTGAATATTTTGAGCTCTACACCCCTCACTGCCGGCTGTTTCTCCTAAAGGCTGATTGGTCTGATTCAATTGATTCATGCTGGACATCCACCAATCAGCCATGAATGAAACCTGCTATCCAGAGCTGACCCTTGACATCATTCTGCTTTGAATATTTTTAGTTCTACACCCCTCACCGCCGGCTGTTTCTCCTAAAGGCTGATTGGTCTAATTCAATTGATTCATTCTGTCTGGTTACTTTCGGTTGCCTATACGATTGCCCAGAATTGTTGAAGTCTACGTTCCAAAAGGCAGGAATCCTGATGTTCCATTACATCCAGGGCAGTGATGGTCATTGGCAGGTAACCCTTACATGACCAGGACCGCGTTAAAAAAACAGCTTGCAGACAAGAAGGCAAGTGCACTGCAAGTTCTCACTTTCAAGACATGAGCATTGGACTTCATGCAGGCTGTAGTCCAAAAACTACTGGACAAGAGCCCTATCAGGTATGGCCTTGGTAGGAACCTGAGATGGCTGGTGCCAAAAGTCTTCATCAAGAAGAACTGTAAGGAAGCCAACAAGACACAGTTGAAGAACTGTCTCACTTTGCTGGTTGATGCCAAGAGATTCCCTAATACAGATGTGGATGGTGTTGTGTAATGAGATGTGCAACTTTAGAGATGAATCACAACATTGCAGTGAACTGAACACGCAGTTTCAAGTATTTTTAACTTCTGATTGACTGGACACTTTTTGGCATGCTGTTCTGTCAAAGAGCACCTACAAGAAGCTCTGGAATGTACTGTAGATGCTCATGCTCCTGTCTCATGGGCAAGCCACGGTTGAATATAGGGTTTTCATTCAACAAGGAAATCTTGACGCACAACATGGAAGAGCGAATGGTGGTTGTCCTGCGTTCTGTGGTTGATCATGTTGCACATGGTGGCCTGGACAAGATGACCATCACCGAGAAGATGCTGCTTGCAGCTGGCAGGGCCAAAACAGCCTACAATATTTTTGCAGAAGAGAAAGAGCAGAATGTGAAGGCCCAGAAAACCCGGGAGAGGAATGCTTTGTTGGATGAGCTAAATGAAATAAAGAAGAAGAAAAGGTGTACAGAGGAGGGCATCAAGGCGCTTGAGCAAGCAGCAGATAAATATGCAGAAGCATTGGAGAGAAAGGGGGATTTGAAAATTAGTTCAACGCCATGAGGCGATCTTTAACGCCATGAGGTGATCTTTAAAAACAAAGCAACAGGAGCTAGACACTGTTGAACTGAACATTAAAGNCGGCAAATGCTGCTTGCACAAAAAAAGCAACTATATTTACCCGTAAACTCAGCAGACATACAAAATGTACACTGCTATTCACTCATGACAGATTTTGATGCAGCGTAGAATTTGACTTATGATGCCCACGTGTGTAGTGCTAAAATTGCTGCAGAAGATTTAAAGCAAAAGTGTAGCTTGCAATAGTATTCTATGTAATCTTTCACACTAAGCAATTTTTGACGCCTCATCCTAGTATGGCACAGCCAGTGGGTCGTCGAGGGTGTGTGCAGCTTCAGCTACTAAAAGAGGTAAGGATAATTAAACTCATTTCTTCTTGTAATGAATGAATTTTGTAATGACAAGCTTGTAAACATTGGAATGTATTTTTACAACACTTCTCTTTAACTTCATTTAACTTCACTTCTTTTTACAACACTTCTCTTTAACTTCACTTCTTTTTACAACACTTCTCTTTAACTTCACTTCTTTTTACAACACTTCTCTTTAACTTCACTTCTTTTCTTATGATTTGCAAAAGTAAGAAAATAAGGGCCTTTGAAGGTTACTGCTGAAATTAGGTCTATCATTAAAATGGAACATCTGAAGCTCACACTCTCCAGGAGTTATTTCTAGATTCTATGTTATCTATTGTAATGTCCTAATTCACTATTAATGAATATTAGGAAGCAAGACTAATCAACCAAATTTTAGCAGAAGTTGATTCAGCCCAATGGGGATGTTATGGTCTGTATCAAGTGTCTCACTATCAAGCACATAAATAATCTAGAGTGGTGATCGAAAATATAATCTAGAATTATCTCAAACTATCAAACACCTAAACGATCTAGAGTGGTGCATGATTCAATGCTGCACTCAAAGTTTGCTACATGGGACTCTTTGAACTCTAAATAATGCCAGTGTACTTCAAACAAACTTGTTCTTTCTCTAATATCCAAAAATATCTTCATAGAATGATCACTGACACTTGAGTTGCTTTAAATTACTACTTGGACATTATTACTATCAAACAATTTTGAATCAAAAATATGCTTCAGTTTAACTTGAATCCTGCAGAATTTAATCAGTATCATGATGAATAAAATGAAGACGAGCAGTGTTATGATGCACAATGTCTCTGATGATGCAGTCAACAGCAGCTGGCATGCTGAACTGAGCACCCAAATGTCTTCTGAATCTTTCAAAGTGGAGTCTGATGGTGAGCTGCTATTTATGGGATGTACAAATTGCTTACAATTGTATAAAACTGCAAAAAACATTCATGTGAAGAGTTAATTACAGTTACCTNGAGTTTCATTCATTTTTCAGACGTTTCAGAAGAACACTGTGAAACAAGCCGCTTGAATAAAATTCAACGCTTGGTTGATAAATTGGTTGCTGCTTCTCAAGCAGTTTACGAGCCAGGTCCTCATATCATTTTAGATGAGAGTATGATCCCTTAAAGAGATATGCTAAAATTTCGCCAGTACTTAACAGGAAAAGCTCATAAGTATGGGATAAAGTTGTACAAGCTATGCACTCCAGAGGCGTACACGTTGAATGTCATTGTTCATTCGGGAAATACTGCACCGAGATATGGCCTTAGTTCAACCGAGTCGTTGATCGTGGCAATATGTGAACAAATTCTCAACAAAGGAAGTACCTTCTATGCTGATAATTATTATTCATCTGTTCCACTGGCTGAATGGTTATTGAAAAAGAAGACGTACTTCTGTGGAACAATAAAAAACAGAAAACATTTGGCAAACGAAGTAACAAGAGCTAAACTGAAGGAAGGAGAGATGAAAGCGGCAGAAAACAATAACGGAGTAAAATTATACAATTGGAGGGATAAAAGAAACGTTGTCACTATTTCAACAGTTCCAGAGCATGGACAAGAGCTTATCGCAACTGTAAAAAGAAACCGGAATGGCGATGCCGTTTTTAAACCTCCAAGTGTTTTAGCATATAAAAAGGCTAAGAAAGGTGTGGACGTGTCAGACCACATTAGCTCATATTACACTGTTCTTATAAAGTCGAAGAAGTGGTACCGCAAAATAGCATTTGAACTGATTGGCTGCACAGCAGTTGTAAATGCCCACGTGCTCTACAAGAAATATTGTGATGGAAGCAAGATGAGTCTACGAAAATTTACAGAATCTATAATTCTTTCCATTTCAAGTGGAAAGCCCACTGAAGAAGTAAGATGCGGAAAACGCAATGCCAATATAAACGTATCTCTATCTGAAAATCATATGCTGGCTGAAGCTGAGGGACCCAAACAAAAATCACGCAAGCGATGCAGAGGATGCTACGAAAAGATATCAAACAATGAAGGATTTAAAGTGGCTGCCAATAAAGCTCGAAGGGTTAGCACTTATTGTACTGTTTGTGACGGTAACCCATTTTTTTGCTTGCCATGTTTCAATGAAAAACATTCAGCCTAGGTAGTTTTGAACTCGGTATAGGAATTAGCGATGTTGACTGCTGTTAGAATTATTAGTTACTTATCGTTTGTTCAAGGAGATTTACGAATAAAATTTTGGTTCATTGATATGTTTTACTTAATAATCCACTTTTTAATTGAACATAAATATTATAAAAGATGAAGTTTACGTGCGAAATTCCGAGTTATATGTGTTTTATCAAAACGTCGTAAAATACTGCGTTTGGTACACTGGTGTCCCAATACGCAGCAGTGGAATATCACTGTTGGCCCAATACGCGGGGAACGTGTTCTTTCAAAGCCTTGTGAAATGCTATTCCAATTCTTCTGTGTGTACAGCGGAAAGCATTTGACTTGCAAGTTCCATAGTTCAATACAAACCTCCCTGATTACTTCACTTATGGTTGATATGCCTAGCTAATATAAATAATGCAGCACGCTGTCATCATGCAACCAGTGGCTAGGTATCTTAAAAGAACAAATATAATAACATTAGCAAAATATTTTACAGTGCTAGATATTACTTTTATAATATTACTCTATTTGATTTTGTTTCAGCTAAACAACTGCAGACGAACTGGAAAGCCCTGCGTGATGGTTTCCGGAAAAATCATAATGCAATTCGAAATGCTCCGTCTGGATCAGGCACAAACAAACAATCTTTCTTGTACGCCCCGCAAATGCAATTTCTGTTGAAGACTTTTGATGCCACAGAAAGTGCCTCAAATATTCCGACACCAACTAATAATCAAGATGAGTTAAAAGTTCAACCTTCTCCAAAAATTAAAAGAAGACCTAAAAAGTCAAGAACAGTGGATATACAGATACTTGACTACGTATCTTAAAAAGTCAGATGACTGTGAATTAGATGATATAGGTTTATTTTTCATGTCTTTGAAATCATCTGTTAAAGATTTTACAAAAGACGAAAAATTGGAGCTCAAAGCACGGGTTATATCAGCAATCTCTGACAGAAGAAAATCTAGAAATAAATATCCCTGCAACAATGCTGCAGGAACAAGTTGAGCTGCAACATTTTACACGTCTAACAACAATATGTCAACTGACTCCCCACTCGTTTAGACTCACTATCTAGTAGAGAGGTTAATTGATCTATATAGATGCCATGAGTGCCTGTGGAGAGTTCAGTCAAAGGAGTATAAAAATTGAAATGCAAAGGGACAAGCTGTGGCGAAAATAGTTGAAGTTTTTAGAAACTTCTGTGTACAAGTTACCATTTCCGAGGTTCGAAAGAAAATTCATTCGTTGCGTTCGCAATTCCATCGTGAAATGAAGTTATTACGAGAATCAATGAAATCTGGCGCAGGTGCTGACCAAGTGTACACACCGAAACTCTGGCGCTTTGAATCATTGATGTTCATCAATGACAGCGACGCTCTTCATCAGTCCACGTCTACTCTCGACGAAGACATTCAGGTTCCAAGTGATGTAAGTAATTTTTACATTAAGCATTTATTTTATGTGATTTTAGCAACTCTATTAATGAATTACTGTTTGGTGATTTGAAAGAATGATATAATATTGGTACGAATATTAGAAGTTTCTATTTATGAATAGATTATATTTTGTAAAAACTGGATCTATTTGAATGTGCTCATTTTTAGTTATGAAGACGATGTTAAATTCTCGTTTACAACTGGCATTGTGACGAATGTCAGACTTTGTGTCAATTACAAGAAAAATATCTCGCTGAATAACACTTGATAATAAATAGAGATAGATTCAATGGCCACAAGCAATTATCGATTTCATTATATTTATTTAGTTCCATTACAAAATCACAATAACAATCAAGTGTTTACAAGTAATATCAGTAGTGCAATTATCTTAAATAATGATAATAAATGGAAATACATCTGGGAAAAAAGGTGTAATATATTGATTTCTAATTGAAATTCCCCATAAAATGTGATTCGGTACTGCTCTTTCTTCATTGAAATACTCCATAAACTGTGCTACTGCTCTTTCTTCATTGAAATACTCCTTAAACTGTGCTACTGCTTCTTCATTGAAATACTCCATAAACTGTGATACTGCTCCTTCTTCATTGCAATACTCCTTAAACTGTGAGACTGCTCCTTCTTCATTGCAATACTCCATAAACTGTGCTTGCACGTACTTCATTTTCTGCCCTTGTGCTGATCCTCTGTAGGCCCTGAAATTGTAGATCTCTCCATGTCCCTATACTTACAAATCTACTCACAAATCAATCTACTTAGAAATCAAATCTCATAATCAATTGAGCCAGCTGGGCGATAGCCATCCGAAGAGTTTTTCTGAGCATGTTGTGCAAGGTAGTACAGGCCAATACTATTTTGTCGACCTTCGACGGTTCTAATTTAATAGTAGTCAAAAATATTCTAAATCTGTTAGACATTATACAAAGTCGTTTTCAACAGTGTGGCGAGCTGTTGACATCCTGTACGAGGCTATTATTTGCTGATCTGTCTGGTCTTTATGCGGGTAAAGTTTCAATAGGCAGGTTTTTAGTGGGAAGGCATCATCGCCCAAAAGCACATATGGTAGCACTCTGTGGCTCCCTGGCATTTCACTGTCAGGAGGCACTCTTACGGTTTTTGCTTGCAGTCTCTTGCTTAAAGTACAATTTCCCCACACTCCTCCATCTGAAACACATCCATTGCACCCTACGTCAACATAAATGAAGTCGTAGTTAGCGTCGGCCACTACCATAAGCACAATGATGTTTGTGTTTCTGTAATTGTAATAATAAGATCCACTGTTCATAGGTTTTATATTGATATGCTTCCCGTCAACTGAGCCAATGCAGTGCGGGAAGTTCCAGCGAGTTTCATATTCCTCAGCAATGCGTAGCCGTTCATTCTCGGTTTGTGGTGTATGAAAAGTATACAGAAACGATTAATTTCTAAATATGTAATTTATTAACATATGATATTTATTTGCAGGGAACAGAAGGTGATCAGGACCAAACATGAAGAGTATTTTGATGATACATTCACGGAAGCAACAACCCCTTCAACACCATCTTCTCCTTCTAGATCAAATACTCCTTCTCTGCCTGAAAGTTTGCAGTCAACCGCGACTGCGTTGCCAAGCACTACTTCATCAGAAGCTTTAATACTCACACCAATGCAAAAAACGAGTAATCTCACCCAAAAGAAAAGGAAGATAGATCCAACTGATGAGTTAATTCAGGTTGCATTATCTAAATTGACGGAGAAGAAAAATGATGATGATGACTTATCAGCATTTGGCGTAGTGGTGGCTACGCAAATTAGAAACATGAATAAAACACAGGCAACCATTTCTAGAAAATTAATCAATGATGCATTGTTCATGGGAAGTATGAATATGTTGAAGACAAATTCACGTATTGTGACAGCATCAAATTGCCCTGACAATATGAACTTCTAATTGTCATTTCGAAAAAGATAAAAGTCTGATTACTGTTTATGTAGAGGGTATTCTATTTGACATTCTTTATTAAATATCATATTTTTGAAACGTAGGTTTCATCCAGAAAAACTTGAAACTCGTGGGGATGTTATTTTTGTTACTTATTAGGATATAGGAAATGGATTACCTCGAACTTGGAAGTATTGATTCCATTTCAGTTAAACTATTATTGCTGTTGTGCACTGAAGTTTTCAGTGCATTCAATTGCCATACATTGTTTTCTCAGGTCTCTTCTGTACACATTTATTATACATGACCTCGTCTAAACCTCCACTAACAACTTATACACTCGCACGCTTCTCACCCGATACAGTTTTCGCCTTCCCTCATCTTTCATAATAAATTATTCTTTCGCTCGCCTACCAGAATAAAGAAGCAAAATGTAGTTACACTATTTTTATTACCCTGCCTATCATTAGCGCGGTCTTAACCCGTTCATTGGTAACCTCGTTGGTATGACTATCGAACGCCATCGATATTTTCTTTAATATTTGAGTCGCTTCATTCGATAGGAAAGCCGTTGTTTTCTAGGCTCGTCGTCCGTCATTATAGGCCTTTCGCTTATTTTCAAATTTGTTTGTGATCACTGCAATACGTTGGGCAAATGCGTATGTTCGGTGAACGAATGAAAGCGAACAATTGAGAATGGAGAGTTTGTGTTGTGAAATCAGGAAGACTTAGCGAACCAATCTTTATTCGCACAAATGTCCAGTTACCTGAAATAGGAGTTGCTGACATTAAATATCAATTAATTTCACATAGCACAAGTATAACAAACAACGGAAACAATCATACAGCGGAGATAAAGTCAACAATGTTCGTGGCAGAGAACTTGCGTTACATAAAGGCAATGGTTAAAATATTTCAGATAGGTACACTGATACGGTATTGATTGTTGAAGCCAGGCCATCAAACGTCTGATTGTCATGTTAAAATGAACTTTATCATTTATGAATAAGGACTATGTTATAACATTCACCCCATGGTTGAACTATATAAGGTTGACCCAAGAGAAGTTCCGTCATTCAGTTCAGCTTTCTTGTTACGTCACTGTCCAAGTTTATAATTCGGTCAAAGGTTGAATGCGGAGTAATTTCTTTTCGCTTCGAATCACTGACATGTGGAACAGCCTCCCCGATGACATCGTTGGCGCTCCAAGTGTGAACGCGTTCAAGAACAGACTGGATAAAGCTATGGAAAAATTTATGTTCAGATTTGAAATGCCTAGCTCCTTATCGAACCCGGTGGAAGTCTAGGAGCTACTTCAAACTATCGTCAGTCATGAAAAGATCCGGTCAAATGACACGATTTTAGATCTTCTGTGAACAAGGCACGAAAAGTACAAGAATCGGCGACAGGCCACATCAGCGCCGACATCACTATGCTATGCTATGCTATGCCCTCTACTGTCTACGTCGTAAATTTCTGTCAAATTGGGAAGAAGATTGGTCCCGAACTGTTGCTGAGACTGGCAAAGGCAGACATCTTGCATCAATTAGGGGAAATCTGCTGCCAGTCCCCTGGGTGCACGCAAAGTCCCGTCGAGTAGCTGTTGTATTGGCCCGCCTTCGTCTGGGATATGTGGGGGTAAAAACTTACCTGCATCGCTTCAAAATGTC